TAATATCGATGCATATATTCTTTATTAATTAAAAAATTAAAATCAATGTTTTATTTACCTACTTAATAAATAATCTAAAAATGACAATGACCAAATTTGTATGGAGCGTGGTGCCTTTTCATTATTTCGCAGCAGTTGATCGGATGTGGAAAAACTGATGCAGAATAACATTACAAACAAAAAAATATATGGGGTCTTATATTAAAAACACAGTCCAAATCGAGTTAAATCAGTTCAAAGATGTGAAAATAGTGCTATATTATCCCTGTGATTTTGTTGATGGTGACCGTACACAACGCATACTTCTTCATTTACTTGTCAGAAATATTTTGTAATAAATGTTTATAAACGATTTCAAGGAATATAATAAAGCTAATCATGGACTTTTTTACTTTTTCTTTTTTTGTTTTTTTTTTTTTGTTATATAAGGCTACTGAATCAGAACAGAGTGAACCATTAACTGACCACTGCTGAAGAAAAAGAAACATTTCGCTTGATTGGCTAGCGTGTTCAATTTATATGTATATGGTTTATGGCCTATGACTGGTTTTCATGATCAATTTCCTCTCAGCCAAAAACCCGCAAAATACTTTACTGAGCCCTATCATGAAATGCTATGTTTGTCAGCTGCGGCGTCGGTAGCGGATTGAATAGCGCTGATCACTTTAAAAGTCGACGGTTTTCTTTTTTTTCAAAAGATTATGAATTAATGAAGATGCTAACTATTAAGTAGATGAGCGTCTACCAGGAGTTCATGGCAAAAAAAATATACTTTATTAGATGTTTGGACGGCTACCACTACTCAACCCACCACTGGTACGACAGCTGACGCTCATGAAGCTTCATGACACAACTTCTAGAAGCATCCCACAAGATATCGACTGAGAGAAAATAGGTACTAAAAATTAGAGCCTGGCAAAATGAATATATTGTGGTGTGATATGGTTTTCCTGTGCCCGGAGTACAGTGGCGCGCAATTTGAAGTTAGAAATTGTGACAAAACTATGAATAATTTGAATAAAAACCGAAGTAAAATGTTTGGCTCCAGCTCCTTTCAACGCTCATAACTCAGTCCAGACTGAGATTTCCATATATAAGCCCATAGACAATTTCGTTTGTAATGTCATTCTAGATAATATTTTCCATAAATCATCGACTGCCGCCAGAAAAAAGAAAGGCACCAATTTTAATCAATGCCCTTTTGAAGCTTCAAACGAAGTATACGAAAATGTGTATTCGGGAAATGGGCACGGCGTCGTCCGTTCTCCTGCTGGCGACGGTGACGATGCTCCACGAGCATGTCGTTATTAAATTTAATATTTTCATGTAAACTTCTGAGCGGATTTCCGACAGTACGGTTTCCAGCTCAAAAGGTTTTAAAGATGCAAAGTATTCATTTCGTGGATCACTTGGTCTCTGATCAAAAACTTTTGCGTCACCATCTTCTAACTTTGCATAATGGACACATTTGGTTTTGACTGTGTTGATTTATTTGAGAAATAACAAAAACCCAAAAAAGGGCTTACAACACTAGTTGCATTGAGTGATAAATGTTTAACGTGATTTTACGGTGACGGCGCTAAGGCAACTCACAATACAGCGCTATAATCTCCTTGGCCGCACGTAATATTACGATGATGGCGACCGGCGATTGTCCGCACTAGTGCGGTTCTGCGTTATGAAATTTTTATATTATTGTTATAAATATTAAATAATTTTAAACTTAAATACATTTTAATTAGTACAAATACTTGCATCAAAGTAACACTATGGTTATTTTCTAATGAAAGTATACACTTTCATTGCAAATAGTGACAGTAATATCTATAGTGCCTTGTTTGTTCTTAGACAACCTATTAAGTATTTTTCGAATTCGCCCCATCCCTAGTACTCGTAAAATTACGTGATTGGCGATACAGATAATGGAGACGGTGACCACAATTTAATTAAACCTCAAATTTCACAGTATTTATCACTCAAAACATTGAGAAATATCCATAACAATAAAGATTATAACCCTTCATCTTGAAATTGACACATTTTATATGGAGTTTGTGCACTATAAGAAGATTTTTAATAAAATAACGTGATTGTACGTATGTGGCGATTCGGACACAGCTTTCGAAAACCGTAATTTTACGTTGTCGGCGGTTAAAGGGTTAAATAATTCCATAACATGTTGTTATGTCGTAGGTACGTGTCGTAGTGACGGCAGAATAAAATCATTGGTCCCCACATCTACTATTCCCGTGGGTGCAGTGTAAAATATACTGCCTAGGAAATACACTTTTGACAGAGACCGGGAACCAGCGCTAGTCGCTACCAGACCAGCGCTCTCTGATAAACGTGAACTTTTTACGAACGAAATTATAACTGAATTTACAAGTTGAACGCCATGTGTGATCACTCGTACTAAGGCCGCCATTACGTAGTACGAGTTTATTTTACGTTTAAAGTAATCCAAACGAGTACGCGTTCGAAACTCTAATTGGCCGGCTTCAATGAACTAACCAATCAGACCGCCGGATGCGGTAACATTTCTGGAACCAGCGCCACCAGAGCTCTCTAATAAACGGAAACTTTTTACGGACGAAATTATAACTGATTTTACACGTTAAACGCCATGGGGATCTATTCACCATCGATCGAGGCGAGTGATGGATTACCGTCAACAGTTTTCTAATGACAGTCAAAGACTTGATTTGAAATCTGTGAGTCAATATACGTTTTTGTCACACTCCCCATAAAACTTATGTTTAAAATCTTTAACCCGCCTGCCTGCGGAGATTGTGACAAACCCTCTTATGTAGAGGAGACTCATAGTGCAGCAGTGGACTGTCACCCGCTGAATTGACCGTGACAGCCCTACGCGTTCGATGTCGCCTCACTGAATACAGAGACCGCGCACCGGCCGCCGCGCGCCGGTACCGCTAACGACTTCTTTTGCTAATTAAACCGGAATCACTTGAATGTTGTATCGCGATCTCTAGACTCGAGACTGCGATGTTACACTGTTACTCTCATTAGGTATGCTGTAATGGATTGGGCTTGTGGCGAGTTTTAATAAGTAATCGATTTGTTGACAAATTAAAAATGTCTCAAATCAAAATTGTATCTTTATTTGCATAGTAAGTACTTAATCAAATCTCTCGACGAAGGTGACAATTCGAACAAGTAATTCCGGAGATAAGCACATTCAAACAAACAAACAATATGACATTAATAGTGTAATACAACATTTTTATAGATTTCAAATACCTAGTCTGTCCGTCCCGTGTAAGACCCGATGGTGGCGCTACAGACTAGGTAGCGCTCAACAGTTCGGAACTACAAACTACAAGGAACATTGAACTAGGTATAGGTAATTCCAAACACTTACCTGAGTATATACCTACATTTCAAAATCCTGCGCCTACATTTATACGTATAAGTGGTGTACGTACACCACTGTCTCATAGAAAATCGACGTGAAACACGTGTTTCACGTCGTGTGAGTGAGGTTACTGGAGGCCCAATTACCCGCCTCAACCCACCCTTCCCCAATCCCTGAATCCCCAACAATCCTCAAATTCCTAATCCCAAAAGGCCGGTAACGCACTTGTAACGCCTCTAGTGTTCCAGGTGTCCATGGTCGACGCCGATTGCTTACCATCAGGTGATCCGTATGCTCGTTTACCGGCTTATATAAAAAAAAACATATTTTATCTAGATAACAAGACCTCACGGTCAAAAAATGTAGTTTCAACAGCTTTTTGCTTTCTACAACTTCATTTTTAGAGTATGACGTAATCACCGCGCCAATGTTTCAGCAAAAAAATGTCCTGTAATGTGGTGCAATAATAACGTTCTATATTGATTAGTTATTCCAGAGTTCCAGACCATAATCTACCCCTATTCACAATTACATCCCGGTCCCTTCAGCCGTTTCACATTCATCAAAACAAAATCTTTCGCATTTATAATATTATTATTAGTGATAGTGAGTGAGATTAGCAAGATATTAGATGAATGGCCGTTGTTCCCGATTGTATTCCTTCTTTAGTCGTATGTTACGTGTACAGTTACAAATTGCGCGCGGTTCGTAGACGTGCAATAAAAAATTAAAATGGTTAACGGATGGGACTGCTGCAACTTGGTATCCATACCAAAAATATTTCCCTATAATTACTACGAATCCTATCGACTTGACAGATCGAAGAATGTAAGTTATAAATAGAAGGTTTTGTCTTATATCTAAGCTATAAATTGAAGCCTACACAGTTCCAAATAATGATAGCACGGCACGATACCACAGTCACCTAACTACTGAACATTTCGTGTTTAGTACTTCAAAGTAAGCTTTTCCTGCGAGCTTTTATATCACTCCAAAACTAATCGTGACATACAATCGAGTTCGTGACTCGTGGTACTAGTGCCGAAAATAAATGACATTTGTTATAATGTTGCCAACGTGACAGCTTTTCCCTCGTTTTGGGGAACATTTGTAGTAGTTTGTATTAGTCTTTCATGATAAGATACGTGTATGCTCAACACGTATCTTATCATGAAAGATTCTGTTGATTCCAATTTAAGTTAATGAAAATACACGTGAATCATTAAATAATTAAACGATTTAACGCAACAACTGACAGTGGTTTTGTAATAAAAATAGTACCTATAATTATTGTCTTCATAATTGAACAAAAATGTAATGAATTGAAAATGTTTATTGACTGGATTGGACTATAGTGCCACTAATGAGCAAGTGGTTTGCTTCTACGACCCATCCCTAATATTAATACAGCTAATAATTTAGTCTGATGCCCATGTCTAAATAAGTTAACAAAAACGTAAAATAACATTAGAACAGTTCTCAAACAGTTATTTTGTCTATAAATAAAATTACTACATGCCGAGCAAACACGTTTACAAGAAATAGGAAGCAACACAAATGTGGTAATTTATATTCTCATCATGGCAACACCAGATTAAATGCGCCATTCCGCGGTGTTGTACGTCACTTCGCCGAGTTCGCGGCCGCTCGCCGTCCGTGCCGCGCTTTACGTCATCAAAATAAACTCGGGCAAATGTATTTACAATGAAAATACGGTGAAAATAAACGAGTCAGCGACGTTAATTATCGATATAAAGCACTGTGATTGTTTGTTGTAAATGGTGGAGTGATGAAACCGGTTGTAGTGTGTTTCGAAATTGAGAAAAGTGTTTGATCACGGTTTTACGACGTATTATTGTGAAGTTGCGAGTGTAATTGTGTGCTGTGTTGGGTGCTGGGTGCCCTGTGGTGTCCGCGTTGCCCACGCAGCCAGCTGTGGTCCGTGCGACAAGTAAATAAATAGTGTTTAGTGTTAGAGTGTGCATCGGAGATGACCTACATACAATAGACACGGTAATGCAGCGTGACGTCAGCGAGCTTCGGCGTTCGATTTTTGAATTTCCTCGCGGTATTTAGCGGGGAATTTATTGTTTTTTTTCTTATTATATTTTTTTAATTTAGCAATGAGGTTTGTACGAGTTTTTTAACGTTTGACTGGCTGTATCTGTAACATACGTATTTTTATTTATTACAAGTAAAATGTTCTCCGCGATGTCGTATTTTCAGGAACTACGCCGCAATAACTATTTCTCTTCACTTAAAGTTGACGATCTTCGCAAATAATTACGTAAATAATGAACAATACGTTTGTCTCACGCCGAGGCTGTTTGTTTCCGAGTCCCGACTTGTTGTGTAACTTTCACTTAAATCAAGTTTTGTACGACGGAATGAAACAACTTCCTTTTTGACTATATTTCAAAGACACATACTCAAACTCATGACTTTGTCTTATGGTAGGCAGAAACTACAGATAACAGAACTTTTGATACAAAGCTGAAGTAGACTACTTCATACACCTATTTCATATAAGCACTCCAAAGAGTACTCTACAACTCTCATTAGTTATCATTATAGGAAGTAAGATTTTTTTACATTAGTAAGGGGTTGGCAATTAGACCAATTATGAAATTGCATGACGAGAGACATTACCAATTATTGTATTTTTAGAGAACAGTGTAGAGTTAGTAGTAGTAGCAGTAGAGTTTCCTAAGATCGAAAAAGGAGGATCCTCCGACCAGGCGAGGAGTGCATGCTTGGCAGGCTTTCTGCCCAACAGTGTTTGTAGGGATTTTCTATCCGTGTTGATACTCATGTAAATTAGACATGTGTGTCATGTGTTGCCAAATATTAATGAATTTTTGTTACCCTACAATGCAATGAGACCATACTCCTTACACATATTTATAACTTAGATGACAAAACTTCTAATTTTAAGTCATTCTGTCGTACACTTTTGTTAGCGAGTTAATTGCAAGGAATTAAGTCGGTGAGGTCACCTCTATACACACACACAGAGTATGTACTGTCTGGTCGTAGCGTCACTGCACTGAATTAAAAGATTAACCTTATACAGTCCGTTACTGTACATACCGTAATCTAATCAGACTCAGACAGGCAGATGCTTGTCAC